GAAAAGATGAAGAGTCCACGCTGTGATTAGAAAATGCCCGAACACGTTATTGAGACAGGAATGTTTCTGGACTGGAACCTGTGGTAACGCTTGGGGAAACCTGAGTGATGAAACATGTCACATTGTCGTTGCTGTTGCTGAATCATGCAGAGTTTTGTTTACCAAATGGCTCAACTATCGGACCAATAGTGCTTACGTGCATAAACAAAGGCCCATTTTGAGCCTGGAGACGTCTTGAATGACTATTTGAATATTCAAAAATCATGACCATCCCTACAAGCAAAATAAATATGTTTTCCGTCTCTTGCACGCTCTACTCGGGTGCCACCCTTGCTTTAACCAAATTGAGTATTTCCAGTAGTGAAAACACATCTGGATCAGACTGTTTCCTGATACATGTGAGCAAAGTACAACTTTGGAAAACGTCCTGACATTTTAGCTCAGTTAGCTTCATGTGCTTTCATTGTCTTTTTGAACTTCCCAAAACAGTAACAGTAACAGTAAACTTCGCCAAGAACACGACCCTGGAGGCACGCCCCCGGGAGCTGGTGAGATAGAAATCTGTAAGACTTGAGCGTATGTGTAGTCCTTGACGTCTTTGGTGAACTTTGGTTTAGCAGTAACAAACACGTGCTGTACTTTAGTCCAGCTTGCCCACCTGTCGCGCCTCTGTGCCTCGAGCCATATTACGTTTTATAACAAGTCATCAGCCCAGCTCCACTGCTTCTTCCTCTTCTTTCTTCCTCACAATGTGTCCTATGTGTCTGACTTGCCCCGCCTGGGTACCATGGATGCAACCATGCCTCTGTACACAAACACCCCCCCAGGAGGTGAACAGGAAGTCAGCTGTAAAAATCTTCATAATGCTAATAACTCACATCACACTGATATCACATGTTGCTGCTGCTGTTGGGCAGCAACTTAAAGCAATTGCTTTCATGCACATGACCTCGATTATTTGTTCTAATCAAACATCAGAGACTTTGAAATAAAAGCCCGTCTCTAATGCCGGACAGTGGCCTCCTGCAGCTAAGATAAATATGGGATATGGTTACTATTTAAGGAAATAAAGTCATGAGAACCAAACCAAGTAAACCACAGTTCATGCTTTGGTCACATATCTTCTGACCGTCACATCTGGACATTTCCATCCAATTTTGTGAAGCAAAAATCATAAACAAGTTGACATAAACACAAAGCACGAGAGGCACATGTGCCAGAAACTGCAGTTCCTCTGACGTCCACTTGACGGCAGCTCCAAATGTCCATCAGTCTTCATAGAGTCCCATTTTAAAATGTTCAACTTTAACAAGGAAACGTGTTTACAGCCTGATACACGTTTGGGTATTTCCCAGTCAATGACAACGTTACGTTTTATAAAGGCTTAAAGTTCGACAGGAACCATGTTTGAGCTCATTGTGTCTTTTGGGGCTTTTCAAACAAGTTACTGAACCAATAATATAAGTGAGTGAATTTGTAGACGATTATTAGCTGGCGCTAATTAGCAGATATCTTTGTCTGTGTTGCACAGTTGCCCAAATATGGTCACTTCTGGGTGCAGCAATCCAACATGACGGCGCAAACATCGAGGTTTCAGTGACGTTACACATCATTCTACTTTATGCTTTCTGAAGTAAACATGTACACAGGCTTCTTACCCCCAAAAAGGTGAGATAGTCAGTGGATCTGCACTTTTTTGGAGCTCACTCAAAGCTCTTTACACCACAAACCACCGTCATTCATTCACACAGGACTTTATTCTTTAGAAAAAACTACTGTGTGCGAGTTTTATCTATCTGATGACCTAACATGCATGACTTCAGATTGAAGAGGAAACCTGAGCACCTGGAGAAAACCAGCCAGGCGTAGAGAAAAACATGCTCGCTGCTTTGACCTTTAATTTTATTTTGTAAAAAACTAAGTGCAACCAATGACAAAGCACAACAACGATTATCTCCGAGTCTGGTCTCAGGTAGAGATCAGATCTTTTCCTGAGTGAGTCTAAATTTTATTTCTCCAACCAGTCACCAGTTAAAATGAAAGTAATCAGTTGGTTGAAACAGTAGAAAAAAAACAGGCTGCTTCCTCTTTCTGCAGGCGCCACAGTTTCCTCTGCGGTAGCACTTGAGCAACACTAGCGTTTTGTCTTCATACCACCCACACACTTTCAGACCCATCGCAGGTTTGACTTTTCAATGGATAGCATGCTATTAAAGTTCGCGCTGATTGTCGCTGCTTGTTGCCTGAATGTAAAAGACATTTTTATAACATGTTAGCTGCAGCTCTGAGAATACAACTTCAAAAAGTAAAGGACGCATAAAAACAGAAGTTGTAGCAACGCTTGATCCACAGTCTCGGTGTGTTGGACAGGAAGCAGTGACAGTCTGGCGATTACAAAAGACGTCAACTGTCATCTCAAAAGTGAGTCTTGGTTTGGGGGACTGTTTTTCATTCAGTTTATTCTGCAGCAGTTTCCAAAACCTTCCATATAACACGGTTACAAAGTTCACAACTCCAACAGAATATACAACAATCATGATATCGTTCAGTTTTGGATTTAAGCCCAGGTTCATGCACAACAACCTGACCTCTACCGTGTGTGTGTGGATAAAGTGGGGGTCAGCGTGGGGCTAAAGTGGGGTTTGGGCAAGTAGATGAACCCTAAAATCCTCATTATTGACATCGGCATGAACGTGTGGCGGAGATGTGACGGTCATCTCAAATCATCGAGAGCCTTCTGCTTATAAAAGTCGATCGACGGGCTCCATGGAGCTCATATAACTTTTATTTGATAACTGGTCTAAATTTAAACTCGTCCAGTTCCTGTAGGAGGGAAATGTTTTCTACGCAAATGGAAATGTATGAAAATGAAGAGCAACGACAGCAAACACTCAGTGTTACGCTCGGTATGAAAGTTCTGCCAGATACATCTTATCTGTAGCTATTTTTATTTAATTTAATAACTGCACAGTACTCTCTGTTTATAGTAACCATTGTCCTTAATGTAAATATGTATGTGTATGTTTCTGTTCTGTGTCCTGTTTGTTTGTATATGTGACTTTTTGGCTGCTGTTACAACCAAATTTCCCCTTGTTTGACAATTAAAGGATTATTCTATTCTATTCTATTCTATTCTATTCTATTCTACATTAATCAGCATTAAGCAATTTCCCAACCGTCCGGTTAAAAACTGAGACAAAGTCACAGTTATTGCTACAAATGAGGTTAATGCAAGCATAATGTCATGGATCATATCCAAAGTGGTTGGAAGTGAGATGTTGGAGTGTGACGGGTCACTGTTGACCTTGGAAAGAGTCGTTTCCCTTTCACAATAAACGTCTTCCTCAGCATATCCACTCCGATCAGTTCTCACAGTGAGAGATATCTCGCATTTAAAAACTAAAACTGTTACAGTTTGTTATTCACATGTAACAAGTCATTTATTCAATCGTTTGTGATTTATGGAGGTTTATGTGTTGGAACTAATTCTTGATGAGCAACAGTTTGGTGATCACAGGACAGTTTTGTACAGACCTGAGGTCTGCTGGTGATAATATCAGCCATGTGGATGAATGAGAGTCTATTTCTGTACAGAATTAGGAAGCCGCCACCGCCGCTGCTGCTGTATACAGAGGAAATGAAAAATCAACACTGATCGTATTCCCTCAGTGAAATGTCATGTTTAATACTGAGGATGAGTAGCTCATGTTTCACTGCAGCCGTGTGTCTCTACTTTATTTGCTTTCTTAAAGAGTTTTGAGCCTCGGGGCCACCATACCAGAGTGCAAAGACAAGGAGAGACACTAGAAAGCACAACGTCTTCTGAAACAATGAGGGGATTGAATTCAGGCTTCAGATGAGCCACAAAGCTGCTGTGCAGCAATTCATAAATTAATATCTAAAACTGGACGTCTTTTAGGGGTTTTTCCCCAGTAAAGAGGAGTCATCTGCTTCTCACTAAAGACGTTTTAAGATATAACTCCCACACAACTCCTTTAACAAGCAGCCCGGTGCAGAACCAGTTAGGTCTCTGTGGACAGTTTTAACCTTCATAACGACTGCAGGAGACTTTTTTATAACTTAGAACCTGGAGCTATACTGGGAGGGCTTTAGGGTAGGGGCGTGGCCTCTGACACGGCCTGTAGCTGCTGTTAAATGTTGATGTTAACGACTGCAAAGTCCACACCCGATAGGTGACTTAACGATGGCTACGTCCATCTTTTAAATACAGTCAATGAGGGATTGTGTCACGCCAAGTGGGCGTTGGTGGAACTGCAGTTTCAGCCCAGCTGGTTACTGCTTGTTTCCCCACAGATAAAACTTTATTTATAAATCAATAAGGACGAGGACACGCCGGCAATCATGATAACAGTGAAAAATAAAAATCAAAGAATGAGATGATGTTAAAAACATCGTAAATAATCCACCTGCACAGCTTCAGATTCTTCCCTTTCAGTTCTTAATATATTATTGCACAATTACCCACTTAAATAATGTCTTGTGTTTTGCATTATCACAGACTGTGTTTTCCATGGTAATAGTTACAGTAAAAATGTCCCTTTATCTCCTCTATTTCTTAATTCGATGTTTTTTTGTGCAAGTCTCATCATGTCGGGTTTGAGGTACCAGCGGTGATGACTGAGGGGGTATTCAAAGGGTGCCATGGATACGATGTGTTTCAAAGGCGTCAGACTCACTCGACACAAAGACGTCCACGTCAAATGAGATAAAGGTGCTGCTCTGAGAGAGAGAGCGACTGGAGAGAGAGTGGCGTCAGCTCACCTATGGTTTGTCGAAGCTCCTCGCACAAACTTATGTGTGGGAACTGCAGCATCTGCTTCCACTTCTTGCTCTTTCCTTTTCTGTTCCCGCCCCCTCCTGTGAATGACACACACATTTTTTATTTTATTTTGGGTTTGACGGAGAAGAAAGTCTCTACATTCAAAAGAAAGCGAGAAACACGTGAGCGTTTAAAGTAAATCAGCAGGATGTCGTCATACCGTTAATACTGAGAACCCGACTGAGGTTTTTAAGACTTAAATATGCGTCGAGTGCATATTAAAAAACAGCATCGAGCCATGACGAGCTGCATGCTGATGTTTCTGAACAAGTAAAGTAAGAAACTCAAATTCTGGTTTCCAGTTTGGATTTTGGGACCGTTTCTGAGGCGGTGGAAAAAAAATCATTTCAGAGAGCCGATCGACTCGATCGATGCAGTGATCTGATTGGTCAGATCTGCTTATTCAGATCCAAAAAATCTAACTTGGTTTGAAAACATAAATGTTGCAAATTCACCCAGTGAAATCACATGATCAGTGTGAAAAGCTGCACTGAAAAATCAGACATGCAAATATTTTCTGAGCGTTTGATGTTTTTCCTGTGTTTAAACAACAAGTAAATTCATTGCAGGGACAGTTTGCGTTAGCCTGACTGCTCACCACAGATCACATACAAACAATGGTCTGTTTGTGTGTTATAAACCAGGAAGCTCGTTGGTTTGATGAAGTCGGGTTTTTTTTCCAATCTTAGGACTGAGAGCGTCCAGCAGTCATTTGGGAAAAATGTTATTCTCCAACTGGTTGTCAAGTAGTTTCTGGAGGTTACCAGCTTAAAAGCTTCCCTGGGACTGCTTTAGTCACTCATAGTTTGCACGAAACACACCAACCTATCCGCCAACATATAACCTGGAAACAGAGAGCGTTTCCCTTCCAAGTAAAAGTTACGCCTTACTGTTGCAACCAACACGTTTCAAAAGGTACAGCTTTTACTTTGAAGGGACACTATATTTGTAGAGTAGTTTGAGTGTTTGCAAGTCGACGTCTTCCATACTGGTGAACGAAGCAAACGCCAGGAAACCAGGAAATTTTTATTTTAAGGGAACACGCCAATACGCCAATCACAAGGTAACATTATTTTACTCCAATGGTGGGTTCACACTAAGCAGACCAGACTAGACCATGATGCATTGAGTTTTTCCTTTCCAGTCACCTTTCTCACTCACTATGTATTAACAGACCTCTCTGCACTGAATCATATCTGTTATTAATCTCTGTCTCTCTTCCACAGCATGTCTTTATCCTGTCTTCCTTCTCTCACCCCAACCAATCACAGCAGATGGCCCCGCCCCTCCCTGAGCCTGGTTCTGTGGAGGTTTCTTCCTGTTAAAAGGGAGTTTTTCCTTCCCACTGTCGCCAAAGTGCTGCTCATAGGGGGTCATATGATTGTTGGGTTTTTCTCTGTATCTATGAAGCGCCTTGAGGCAACTTTTGTTGTGATTTGGCGCTATATAAATAAAATTTAATTGAATTGAACTAGACTATAATACAATAGAAGCTGCAGCAGGTGATGTCTGTGTGGTTTTAAAGCTTTGTTGTTGCTGTGATGAGATTCTTTCGATGGCCATGATGTATTTCCACATAAGTAGTCCTCCTGTTGGCGGTCATGGCTGAATATTCTTGGGTTCCCAAAATCACTGTTCTTCATGTTTCATCTGAAAACTCCACCATAACAACCACAATTTACAAAGTAAACATCATGTGGTAAACACAACTTGCGACCACGAGCTCCACGAAGGTCGTAAACTGAGTACGAAGCAGGGTCGCTTTCTCATAGACGTCTATTCAATCAGATCTGTTTGAAACCAGAAGAGTCGCCCCCTGCTGGAAGTTGGTTTGGTCCAAACGTGACAACAGAAGAGAGAAAAGCAGCATGTTTTGGTTTTAGTAGGAAGCGCAGGCTCGATCTATGGGGGTGATGTGACCAGAGGTGCTGATCTGAGCAGATGTGGCTCCCATGCGCTTTAAACGAACAGCAGGAAACCCAACACTCATACCCACAATCACTAATTTCGCAGCTTCACCCTCTATCTCTAATTTTGAGGGTTTGAGGCTTACACATGTTCAGTAACACCTCTGCTGTTGTCGGTCGAGGGTGGCAGGCAAGGTCAAAAGGCTCGTTACAACAAATGATCCCCAGCGATGAGCCGGCTCCTCACCAATCCAGCTGTGCACACACGAGCTGCAATGCACAAAGGAAAATGAAACCGAGAGCCGGACAAATGTCTGCCTGTTTATCCCTCCTTCCTCCAGAGTCGTATTCAAATAAGACGAGACCAGTGATTAAATTTGGTCCTTTGAATTTACTCAGAGGTGATATCGATCTCTAAAAGAGGATCTTTGTAAAGCTGTGACCTGCTGGTCTGCATCTGAGGATTGTTTGTTTTAGGGTTTCTGGGATGTTTTGAAGGACAGTCTGAACACTAAATCACAGACACTGGGAAAAACAGAGGGAAGTAGTTTCTAAATCAATAATCAATTTAGCAAACAGGTCCTGTGAAGCCTGTTTAAAGCTTTTGAACATGAAGCATTTCTCTCTGTGGACAAAAGCAGACTGTCTCTGCACCCGAGCCTGAATCACTCCTGAATCCTCTTTGTTTATCTCAGTTAAGAGCACATGCTGTGGTCAGAGGAGGGAGCTTTTATTCAAGGCTCCGTGTTTGAAATGCGATGAGGTTAAAAGTCATGGCAACCCTGCAGCCGATGAACCGTTTTCATAGAAGCCGTCGAGCAGGGTGAAGACAAAGAGCTGCAGAACAAAGAGAAACCAGAGGAAGTTCCTGTCCTCTCTGTGTTTGGGCGGTTTCTCAGAGGCAGGCGGCACTCTCATTTCTGATAGAGCTTCATGCAAGACGCAGCAATAAGCAGGACCAGCGCACTCTGTGAGCTCATGTCTGAGCCTCGAACGCCAACCATCCTCCCTTTGCAACTTTAGGAAAGAGATCAGATCCCCACCAGAACCGTACAGCTTCTTCCTGTCACCATGCTCCGTATATATCTGCTCCAGAGATTCTTAACATTTAATCTGATGACAAACATCCATCTTTTAGAGATATTGGATTATCACGCTACAAAAACAAGAATAAAGTCTTAAGAATCTGCATTTAATATTGATGAAAGTCGGGAATTCAGACGATCTCTAAAAGTGGAGCAAAGCAGTGATGGAGAAATGTTTTGGTAGCGTCGACTGCAGTTCCTCTAACAGCCAGTTCACAAAAAGTGACTCGTTCCTCATTGACTCCCATGTTAAAAAAAATCCCACTTTACAGAAGAAATCAACCAGCTAAGAATAAACACATTGGGACAGTTTCTCCCTTCAGCTTCAGTATGGTGGGTAAATTTGTTTATAACTGATCCATCTCGATCCTTCCGAGGCTTAAAGTTGGACTTCAGTGATTAATATTGGATTGTAGCTCTAGTAGAAGTGGATTGGGCTTGTTCCCATCATGCATTTGGGAGCATTTTTAGTGGAATATCTGATAAGTAATATATTCTCTTCTGCTTCCAAAAACCCAACAGGACAGCTGCAATAAATCTAATCAAACGGCAGGTTCATAAATGGACATCAGTGTCTACGGTCTCATCATCGTGTTGCTATTTTCTGGCCCTTGGCTACAAAAAACTGGGACAGAAAGTCAGATTTAAAGAATAAAAAATAAAGGAGAGCGAGTCCCCCCCATCTGCTGTCTGTAAACACGCTCTTACGTGAAATATCGTGAACCTACACCATCCAGGCTTTTACCGATAACACGGCGTTGTTGTAAATACAGCAGCAGCCTTGAGGCGTCCAGCCTTCAGCATCCCTGATCCTGAAGGAAGGCGGTCCACGCTTCAGGATTTGCTATTCAAATACTTCCAGGCAGCTGCTTTGAAAATCAATTACTGTCATAAAGACACTGCAAACAAGATGTTGTGTTTGTGGCTGGAAAATGGGCGATAATATCAGAATTACAGATAAGCTGACTGATGCCCCGCGCCCGCTGTGTGCATTAGTGAAAATGTAAATCAAGACAAACAGCATGAGTACACGGATGGAAAGCCGATGAAAGACGGACTGAGCGATACACCGATGTAATTAAGATGAAAGCAGCCCAATTCATCCCGCACTCTCAAAGTCATTAGGCAGTTCAAAGGTTACACTTGAAGGCCAAACATGACCCTGGAGGCCATTATGAGGCTGGCTTATGAGCTAAGCAAGGTGAGTTCAGGTTTAACCATGCTCTGAAGCAAGTCCAGGAAGGAAACCACTGCCTGCTGACCAATCAGCTGACCAATCAGCTGACCAATCAGCAGGCAGTGGAACACCTTAAACTCTGTATTTCCAT